TTGTGGGTGCGGTTTATAGTCGGGCCAATACAGTAACAACAACAATTCTCTGAGCAGTTCACATACAACGGCATTACCCTATTCATTTAAAAGCAGCCAAAAAACCCAAACAAATTGGACTTTTAAACTGATAAAATGTCATAAAATTAACAAAATACAGGTCAGGTCGCCTTCATTGTCCGGGTGCTGGCTTGCCGAAGCAGAAAAGAGATTTGAGGGTGCATCAAGCTGTACAATGGAGGTGCCTATCTAATATCAAGTGGCAGGGAGTTCCAAAGACCACATGGGAAACGGATGATTAAAGTGCTCCCTGAATGGGGGGAGACGGGCTGCCCAAAGCCAGGGATCCCTGTTTCAGCAGCGCTCAGAGCAAAACTGTTATTTCTAGTACCCTCTGAGACTTTGCTTCTGTTGTGATTCCTGCATTGTGGCGGGTTGGACTGGATGACCTCAGGGGGTCCCTTCCAGCTCCCTCGCTTGGAAACATAGGAATATGCCTTCTGTCTGGCTAGTAATCTCTTGCCCAGCAATCTAAAGGCCTCAAGCAGAAAAGCCACTTCCCCGCTAAGGTCTGTGACTTGGGGGATAGAGCTCTTGTTTTGTGTGCAGAGAAGGTTCTGGGTTCGATTCCTGACGGCATCTCCAGATATGTCGGGACTTAAACCTCCCATCGGCACGGTGCACGGCAAATGGTGCTTCCTAAAGAATAACAGAGGGCTTATCCAGCCTTCTTTTGTCTTGCAGCTTTGGAAAAATCCACTCTTTAGCGCTCAATCGGCACAAACAGGCAATTCTGGATTGATGTTTGCTCTGATTTAGCACGAAAGAGCAGCTTTTCCTTTGGAAAAGGAAAAAACCCAGTTAAATCGCAGGGAAAAACCTGATAAAATCTCAATCCTGTATCCTCAGTGCTGTATTTTTAACTCTCGATTGGGAGCCGCCGAGAGTGGCTGGGGAAACTCAGCTGGATGGGCGGGGTATAAATAAATTATTATTATTATTATTATTATTATTATTATTATTATCCAAGGGAAAAGGTAGGTGGGAAATCTAGCGTAAAGGCCTACCTCGAGGAGTCTCTGGAAACAGAAATCTGCCATAAGAATTCCCTTTCCTTTTCACCCGAAGCGTGGTCAACAAATTTAATAAATTTAATAAATGAATGAAATCTGGGGGAAACAGTCAACTTTCCACCACCCTCCAGTCCCTAAAGTCAGTAACGATTTCTCCCCTTGGCGCAGGTGTCTGGTGGACGGGAGGCAAGAGGGCGTCTCGTCTGCGTTCCTCGCACCCAGAGTCTCCGAGGAGACGCTACGTTTCACGGTGGACGCCTTCCGGTTTGCCGGGGACTCCAGGAATATGGTGAGCAGGTGGGGTTTGGCGGTGTGGGAGGCCTTATCTGGGCCCACGGGTCTGTGGGAGCGGCGTCCCTAGAGCTTTCGTCCATCTGGCGCGGATGGGAATTGTAGTTCAAAGCGCCCGGAGGGCGACAGGATGGCCTAGGCGGGTTTTGCAAAATGGACTGCGCTGCCCCCTGGAGGCAGCTGCGTTACCTGCGGGGGTCAGAAATTGCTTCAACTGGGTTTTTGCAATTCTTAAAATTTTTATTTTTTCTTTTTCATTCTTTACATACATCTCAAATTCTTAAAGTTTACTATATATTCCTTCCTCCCTCCCCTCCTAGGCTTCCCCCAACTTCCGCTTATTAATAACATAACATCAAACCTAAAGACATAAAAGTAAAAGTAAATACATCATAATATTTCTCTATCTTCTAAACATTTTCTGATACTAATAATGTGAATGTTTATTCAAATCCTGCCATCAAGTCTATTGACTTTCTTTGTTTCTGCAACTATAATATAAATGGTTCCCATTCTTTTTCAAAGTCACTGTGGTCGTTTTCTCCTAATCTGTCATTTTTGCCAATTCTGCATAGTTCACCAACTTTCTTTTGCAATTAATTATTAGCGGTTTTAATTTTATTTCATCCCTTAGCTGGATCACGCAGACCGCTATTATTATTATTATTATTATTATTATTATTATTATTATTATTATTATTATTCTGAGTGTTGTATTTTTTATTGGGGATAGTTTTATGGAGCCAAGTGAAGCTGGGTTTGGGATCCACTGACTTAAATGCTATATAAATCGTCTAAACTAAAGAAATCAAACAGTTGTAGGGTAAATGGAGGTCCGATTGGGTCGAGGTGGGTTTGCCCCGTCTCCTGATGGGCAGCGATTGCGTGAGCCCCGTGCCCTATGCAAGCCCTAAAATTAGAGAGGCAGTGTGGTGCAATGGTTAGAGTACTGGACTAGGACCTGGTAGAGAGCAGGGTTCGAATCCCCACGCCAACTCGGCCAGGAAGCTCGCAGGATGTGACCCTGGGGGCCGGTCACTGCCTCTCAGCCCAACCTCTATCCCACAGTGTTTTTGGGTGGGGATCAAATGAGAACTAGGGCCTTGGAGACCCGGGTTCAAATTTCCACGTGGCCAAGAAGCTCACTCACTGGGAGCCGGTTAGCCTCTCGCAGGGTTGTTGTGGAAAGGGGAAACCATGCCTGTCTCGTTGAGTTCCTTTGAGAAAAAGGCAGGATATCCATGCAATTAATAAAGATGCAACCAGTTGATTGACACCTGTCACCACTGTCCCCTCGCCCCAAAAGCCCTTTTTAACCTCTTGCCTTCTCCCTTCCAGCTGTACGTGATTTGCCACCTCAAGGTAACGCGAGCCGACCAGACGCCAGATGTCCGGAACAAGGCTTGCTCCTTCGACGTTGCCAGCAGCACGTGAGTCGCTTGCGAGACACACAACACATATTTCCCCCTTCCTGAAGCCCTTTTCACTATTTACAGGGCCGCCTCTCCTGGTCTGCCCTGCAGAGGACCTTAAGGTCCATGAATAACCATAGTTTAGAGGGCACTAGGGACGCTGGTGGCGCTGTGGGTTAAACCACAGAGCCTAGGACTTGCCAATCAGAAGGTCAGCCGTTCGAATCCCCGCGACGGGGTGAGCTCCCGTTGCTCGGTCCCTGCTCCTGCCAACCCAGCAGTTCGAAAGCACGTCAAAGTGCAAGTAGATAAATAGGTACCACTCCGGCAGGAAGGTAAACGGAGTTTCCGTGTGCTGCTCTGGTTCGCCAGAAGCGGCTTAGTCATGCTGGCCACATGACCCGGAAGCTGTACACCGGCTCCCTCGGCCAGTAAAGCGAGATGAGCACCGCAACCCCAGAGTCATTCGCGACTGGACCTCATGGTCAGGGGTCCCTTTACCTTTACGATTAACAAAACCAAGGAAAGGAGTTGTTGTTTAGTCAGGGTCTTTTCCAGGGAGTCTTCTCTTCTCATGAGGTGGCCAAAGTCTTGGAGCCTCAGCTTCAGGATCTGTCCTTCCAGGGAGCACCCAGGGCTGATTTCCTTCAGAATGGATCGGCTTGATCTTCTTGCAGTCCATGGGACTCTCCAGAGTCTCCTCCAGCACCAGAATTCAAAAGCATCCATTCTTCGGCAATCAGCCTTCTTGATGGTCCAGCTCTCACTTCCATACATCACTACTGGGAAAACCAGAGCTTTAACTATACGGACCTTTGTTGGCAAGGTGATGTCTCTGCTTTTTAAGATGCTGTCTAGGTTTGTCATTGCTTTTCTCCCTTTACCTTTACCGTTACCAAAACCAAGGAAAGGTACATCAATGCTAACTATCATCTTTATGGCCCAGGATGCCTGGCAAACTAACCGGGAACAGGTCTGTGTCCTAGAATGCTTATATGCGCCGTTCTGGCGTAGAGAAAGCAATTGCCAGAGGTGGAGAGGCTTGTGGGATTTGATCAGAAACTATTGTCAGTGAATTAAACCCAGTCAACGCAATGCTTTCATCGTGGACACAACGGCCTGCTTCATTTTTCATAATTCCTCATAGCAATCCCACCTGATCCCCACATTAAAGGTAAAGGGACCCCTGACCATTAGGTCCAGTCGTGGCCGACTCTGGGGTTGCAGCGCTCATCTCGCTTTATTGGCCGATACAGCTTCCGGGTCATGTGGCCAGCAGGACTAAGCCGCTTCTGGCGAACCAGAGCAGCGCACAGAAACGCTGTTGACCTTCCCGCTGGAGTGGTACCTATTTATCTACTTGCACTTTGACATGCTTTCGAACTGCTAGGTTGGCAGGAGCAGGGACCGAGCAACGGGAGCTCACCTCGTCGCGGGGATTCGAACCGCCGACCTTCTGATCGGCAAGTCCTAGGCTCTGTGCTTTAACCCACAGCGCCACCCGCGTCCCTGATCCCCACATTGGTCTTCTGCAAAAAGGATCACGGGCGTTAAGTGGAGGTGGGAATGGGGATCTGCCTGATCTTTAATTCTCTTCCCATTTCTCCCCAAAGCTGGTTTCCTGTTGAGGGACCTCGAAGCATCTGCAGCTGCTGCGAGGCGAGGAATTGCGACCGGGTGCCGGCAGAACAGGCCCCCAGCTTCCTTCCCAGACCCCGAGCCGTGGAGATGAGCTGGCAAAGGAGTCTACCAGGTGAATGGGTGTTCTGAAGGCTTGGAGGTCGTCTCCTCCAACCCTGCCCCTCCTCACGCCTTTGGTGTCCTCCCCGTATGCATTGCTGGGGGTTGAGCAGGATGATCATAATACTAATAATAAAATTTATTATTTATACCCCGCCCATCTGGCTGAGTTTCCCCAGCCACTCTGGGCGGCTCCCAATCGAATGTTCAAAACAATACAGCATTAAATATTTGAAAACTTCCCTAAACAGGGCTGCCTTCAGATGTCTTTTAAATAATAATAATAAGAGGGTTGGGCAAAATTCATGGAGGAGCGAGAGGGCTATCGATGGCTACTAGCCAGGCAGCCCACGTCCTGCCTCTGAATCCCAGTTTCTGGAAGCTGCGGGAAGGGAGAGAGGGGTCTTGAGTTCGAATCCTGAAGATTTACCCATTGTGGGTGTCTAGTTGGCCACTGTGGGAACATTGGACGTTCGTAACTGACCTGTTTTGTGGCTTCCTCCTGACCACAGCCGAGCTGACCGCACCGCAGGCCCACCTGACGCTGGGACCCTTCTTTGTTTTTGACTCTCCGGAGAACTCTGCAAACTTCCCCGCAGACCCGGCCGGCGCTCAGAAGACGGCAGTGGAAGGTAAATGGGCCTCGCAAAACAGATCTTCTTCTCCTTTTCTAGTTTCTCTTCCTAACTTTCCAAGAAAGGAACTGGAAGATGCTTCCTCGGTAGTTTTTTTAGGGTTTGGTTTCCACCCTTGGCCATTTCCCTGGAAATGCCTTTTTCTGCTGACTTTAAAATCTGAGCTTGCTTCGGCCAAAAACTGCTTTTGGAGCATTTTAACGAAAAAATTACGGTGTGTAAAAAGCAGGAAGTTTGTGGCGCTGCCTCATAAGACGCACGGGGGGGGGTCATCCAAGAGAGCAGAATTCGGGTTTTCAGGACAAAAAGAGACGCAGCACATAATTTGACCCCCGGAACTCACCGCCACAAGATTAGCGACGGATGGGTTTTTTTCAGGCAAGGAGGGTGAGGTTTGGATGGCTGCTCGTTGCATAGCTGTCAACTGTCCCTTATTTGGCGGGACAGTCCCTTATCCCAGCGCCGTGTCCCGCTGCTGTCCCTTATTGATGATGTCCCTTAAATTTCCCGGGTTTCAAAGGAAGCAGCTCCTCTCCCTCCCTCCCTGCCGGCCAGGGAGGAGGGAGGCTCCAGCTGTGTTGCTTGGCTGCATTGCTCACCCAATAAGGAGCCTGAAAACGACTGGGGGGTGGAGCTTGCATGCCTTGTGCCAATCAAATCGGCCGCCTTGCCTGGGGACTCGCCTTTGCTCAGCGCTTCCCAGCGGAGAGGGGACGGTGGTTTTCCTTGCTGCCATCCCCTTTGCCGGGTTGCTGCGCTGTGGGAACCACCGCTTGAGGCTTCGTTTGGCTGCTGGCTGGGCTTTCTGCCTTTGGCTCGGAGGGGCTCAGAAGCTGAACACACCTGTGTTTGGAAAATCCCTTATTTTGGCTGCTGATCCCTTATTTTCGAGGCTGCTGGTCCTTTATTTTCAAATCTGTAAGTTGACAGCTATGGCCTGGATGTGAAGGGTGTGTTTTGCTTCCATTATCGGAGGTGGTGTGCCTCAGAGGGTCGGTTTTTGGGAATCTCGGGCGAGGAGAGCGGTGTTGCAAACTGGGTCCCATTTGCAGAATTTCCTTGGGGCGCCTAGGTAGCCCAGTGCGAAGGGCAGGATCCTGGACCAGCCGAATGGTGCAGCGATTCTCGTCAAAAATATCCAGAGCGCCTTTTCGTTCTTTCAGTGTGTGGCTAGATCAGGGAGCAATGGAGAAACCCAAAACGTCCAGAAAACTGGAATAATTCTGGTTAGCTTAGTTAGATTGCAATGTGGGTGCCAGGTGGGTCTCTATAGGGAAGGCGTTCAATAGAGAGGCTGTTGCCATAGCATAAAAAGACAAAAATATATTTTCTCTGCCCTACCTCTGAAGGAGGGGCACTGCGAAAACTTGTACAGTGGTACCTTGGTTCTCAAACAACTTGGAACCCAAACACTGTGTTATGTACTGAGTTTAAAAGGGTCTAGAATGCAGCAGTCTGATTGGCCCTAGAGCAATAGGATCCAGAATGCAGCCGTCTGATTGGTCCTAGAACAAGAGGATGCAGAATGCAGCAGTCTGATTGGTCCTAGAACAATAAGATCCAGAATGCAGCGGTCTGATTGGCCCTAGAACAATAGGATTCAGAATGCAGCGGTCTGATTGGTCCTAGAACAATAGGATCCAGAATGCAGCAGTCTGATTGGTCCTAGAACAATAAGATTCAGAATGCAGCGGTCTGATTGGTCCTAGAACAATAGGATCCAGAATGCAGCCGTCTGGTTGGTCCTAGAACAATAGGATCCAGAATGCAGTGGTCTGATTGGTCCCAGAACAATAGGATCCAGAATGCAGCAGTCTGATTGGCCCTAGAACAATAGGATTCAGAATGCAGCAGTCTGATTGGCCCTAGAACAATAGGATCCAGAATGCAGCAGTCTGATTGGTCCTAGAACAATAGGATTCAGAATGCAGCAGTCTGATTGGTCTACAGGAGCCACCCAATCCAACTCCAGGTGGATGTGATTCCGCAACCTGATTGGCCTACAGGAGAATGCCGGAATTAGCCAATCATGTGGGACCAATTGTGTAAATAACGTATATAAAGCAGACATTCTGGGGGAACTTCCATTCCTCCTCACCACTATGAGCTGAATAAAGAGCATGAAATCCACCCTCGACTCTGAGTATATTTCACACTGCAAACCCGGAAGTAAACGTTCCGGTTTGCGAACGTTTTTCAGAAGCTGAATGTGCTCCATTTTGAGTGTTACACTTCTGATTTGAGTGCCAAACTTGCATTTTGAATCTTACGCTGAGGTCTGTCTGCTTTTGCTATTTATTTTGCGTTTTTGATATTGCTATTTTTTATTTTTATTTTTTGTTTCATTTTTGTGACTGTGTGGAAGCCAGTTCAGCTACCGACGGATTGATTGTGTGACTGTAGTACATTGTTTATTGCTTTCATTTTATAGATCAGTGCTCTCGGCGGATAGTAAAATTCATGTTAAATTGCTGTTTCAGGGGTTGTTTTTAAAAGTCTGGAATGGATTAATCCGTTTTGCGTTACGGTTTTGCGGTGCTGGTTTTGACCTTTAAAGCCCTTTGTGGCTTAGGGCCCTCGAATTTACGGGTCTGCCTCTCCTGGTCTGCCCCACAGAGGACCTTAAGGTCCATGAATAATCATAGTTTAGAGGTCCCAGGCCCTAAGGAAGTCTATCCTCCACCAGGGCAGGGCCTTCTCAGTGGTGGCTCCAACCTGGTGGAATGCCCTGTCCCATGAGACCAGGGCCCTGCAGGATTTAACCTCCTTCTGCCGGGCCTGTAAGGCAGAGCTATTCCGCCTGGCTTTCAATCTGAATTCTGCCTGATCTTTTATTCCTCTTCCTTCCCTTTTTATGAAGATTACCCGCTCTGGGATCCCACAGCTAATTCTCCCCTGGAGAATTATTATCAGTGCTGGCCCAAATAGCACTAATTTAGCCAGCTAGCCCTGGTGATCATTTAATGTTTATTGGATGGATTTTCCCCTAAATTGATTTTTTAATTGTTATTCACGCTTTTATACTGTATTTTATGCTATTTTTTGTTGTATCACAATTAAGTGTTTTAAATTGGTTGTTAGCCACCCTGAACCGGGAAGGGCGGGGTATAAATAAAAAATTATTATTATTATTGCTTTCTATGGGAAAGCGTGCCTTGGTTTTGGAACATGCTTTGGTTTCGGAACGGACTTCCGGAACGGATTAAGTTTGAGAACCAAGGTACCGCTGTATATGTCAACTCAGTCGGTAGAGCACAAGAATCTTAGGGTTGTGTGTTCGAATCCTACAATTATGTGATTCTGGGAAAGGGAAGGCTTTATATTTTGAAGACAAGGGGAAAAGAAAACCCAGCACTGTCTGATCCGGCGCATTAGGGCTTCCAATTTTCATTCTGCCCCCAGGAAATTGCAGAAGATGCAATTATCTCCAAGGGTAATTTGGGAAGCCTCAGAGCTCCCTCTAGTGTTGCAGAGTTGGTACTTTAAGCAGGCTTTAAATGGTGTTTCCGAATATCGCTAGGGAGGGAGAGAGAGGTTCAATTCAGGTCACCCTGGAAGACGAACGGACTCAATTTGCAGGATCCGAAACAAGGCGAAAGCCGAAACACAGCCCCCTCTGAAATAATAATAATAAAATGTATTATTATTATTATTATTATTATTATTATTATTATTATTTATTTATACCCCACCCTCCCCGGCCAGAGCCGGGCTCAGGGCAGCTAAAACCAGTAAAATTACAGTAAAAACATAACAGGGTGGGGAAAACCAATTTAAAATACAGGTTAAAATGCAATTTAAAATGCAGCCTCATTTTAAAATAGCTGATAAATCAAGACCATAAGGGGAGGGAAACATAAGGGTCAGACTGAGTCCAAACCAAAAGCCAGGCGGAACAGCTCCGTCTTGCAGGCCCTGTGGAAAGATGTCAACTCCCACAGGGCCCTAGTAATAATAATAATAATAATAATAATAATAATAATAATAATAATTTATACCCCACCCATCTGGCTGGGCTTCCCCAGCCACTCTGTGTGGCCTTCAGCAAAATATTAAAATGTTAGTCTCTTGTGACAGAGCGTTCCACCAAGTCGGGGCCAGTACTGAAAAGGCCCTGGCCCTAGTTGAGACCAATCTAACCACCTTGTGACTTGGGACCTCCAAGGTATTGTCATTTGTGGACCTCTCCATGGGGCATACCAGGAGAGGCGGTCCACACCCCTCTGAATTATTGCAATGTGCTTCTCCAGCCTGAGTAGCGGGTACAAAAAAAAAATGCATATGCTGGGGTTAATCGTGCATAAAAATGCGTATGTTGGAGAAGAAATTGGAAGGGGCCTGAGGGTCATCTAGTCCAACCCCCTGCAATGCAGGAAACTTTTGCCAAATGTGGGGCTCGAACCCACAACCTTGAGATTCTGTGTCTCATGCTCTTCCAACTGTGCTGTCTTATGTTAGCTATATTAGTTTTATTATTATTATTATTATTATTATTATTATTATTATTATTTATTATTGCTTTTTCTGGGGGTACACAGGGGTATGCACACCCCTAAACATTTTGCGAATCTTTGTACAGTGGTATCTCGGGTTAGACGCTTCAGGTTACAGACTCTGCTAACCCAGAAATAGTACCTCGGGTTAAAAACTTTGCTTCAGGATGAGAACAGAAATCGTGCTCCGGCAGCACGGCGGCAGCAGGAGGCCCCATTAGCTAAAGTGGTGCTTCAGGTTAAGAACAGTTTCAGGTTAAGAACGGACCTCCGGAACGAATTAAGTTCTTAACCCGAGGTACCACTGTAGTTTTGTCCATTTACTATAATTATTCTTCCCGTTTTGAACTATAAAATGGTGGTTTTGAGTCGAAATGACAGTACCCCTAAACATTTTATTTAGGAAAAAACCACTGATTATTATTATTCTATCAATATATTATTGCTTTACGGTTGTAGGTGACCTGGTGAAGTGA